CGAGGATTTTGGTCACGTAAGGTTTTATCCGACATTTTAATATTCAGACTTATTTCTAGAAAATGCATTTAAAACCAGATTAAATCCACACTGCAACCTTTAAATGACAGTGAATGAGATTTAAACGAGAGTCATGTAATTATTTCCTCATATGTTCTGATGGTTTACAAACTTTCATATAAAGCATTTTTATAATCTAAGATTCACTTATGTATGTAACAGGAGTGGGAAAATGGTGGCAGGCTGGGTAAAACTGTGACAGTGACAGTGTATTTTAGTGGTTCCCAACCTTGGGGTCGGGACCCCAGAAGGAGTCACAAGTTTTAGCCCCTAGGTGAGGGAAAGAATAGTTCGACATTTTGGGAAATATGCTTTTATTCTTTTCCTTGCCAAGATTTAGATGAGATCAGATGAAGACAAGGCTACAGATAGCAGGGAGTTAGCTTAGCTTAACATAAAGACTGGAAACAGGGGGAAACAGCTAGCTGGGCAACAAACAAAGTCTGCCTACCAGCACATCTAAAGCTTACGAATGAACACTTTTTGAGTGAAAAAAATACGTTGCAGTTTCACTGGGGTTATATTCCGGACTGTCTTTTGCCCAGGTTCAGTGACTTTCTGGAGTCCCTGATTGTCTTTTCAAGCTTTTAATTACAGGTAATTTCTAAAACATTTTCAAATATTCTGTGCCAGGGCTCAGTTTCACAAAGGCTGCTTACAAAGAATTTACTAGACCTTTTTTAGAGCAGCCATTTTGACATTAAATAGTAGGGTAATTAATATTCAGTTAATTATTCAGAGAATTTCTAGTGAGCCAAAATGCACAATAGCAGCAGCCTGACTCTGTTTGACGTGAATGGTACGTTTCACATATGAGTTTTCACAAATTGCAAATGATAGCTTGCTCATGCATGGTTAGTAAAACGAGACAAAATTAAGAGGAAAGGAAATGATGATGATGATGATGCAGCTTGCAAGTTGTACATGTGGTGCAATGGGCCCCTAGTCGTATCTTCTAGACATATGCAATTGTGTCATTTGGCAACACATAGACAATGCTTCACCTTTTAAAGGGATTAGAAGCCAAAAAGAAACAACTGCTATATTTATTTGTGTTTTCATATATGTAAATATGTCAAGATTGAATGTACTCTTATTTATAGTGAATCAAGGTGGTGTATCACCACTACTAACCCTGTCTGGAGGAAGAGAGGTTTTACTGTAAACTTTATTAAGGTGCAAAAAATGCTCAAGAGCTGTGTTATATTTAGAAAAATACAGTCTTTACATTAAGCACACATTTTGCACACGTTCTTTTTAGCTTGTGTGTAGAGCACCCTTTGTTTTTTCCTCTCTGTTGCTCCCTACCTATCTAGCTGTGTCTTTCACACACCCACTCACACACACACATACAGTCACAAGGGAATACAGCCTTTATATGGTGGGGTCCATTAGGTGTATTAGCTGGTGGTGAAAAGTGGTGCTGATGTGGTGCTTACAAAGCTCCACAGGGGAGATGGACATTTGATCTTCTATCTGACCCAATCTGACTCCAGGGCTCCTGCCTGATCTAATTTCTTTGTTGTTAGGAGTGAAAGTGGGAGTATTTGAGCTGTTTTTTTTTTCATTCTTTGGCGATAAGTAGTTATTGCTGGAGTGTTTTTGTGCTACGCTAGCTCGCCATCCTGTTATAACAAAGACAGTACTGTAATCCAAGTAGGCACTCTCAGGTAAATAATGAAAGCATATTCAGTGGCATATTCTGCAGTAGCTCTTTTTTAGATATAACATTTCAAAGTGCCAGAAGTTCTTAAAAGTCAATGGCTCAGGAAGATCACACCATTTATCGCATGTTGTTGATCTGATCACAAGGGGCAAACCATAAAAAAAAGAAGTTTGATGTTCTTCAGCTACTGCTCACTGATATTTCTCTTTTTTAACTGGAGAAACATTTCTCCAGAGACTCACATGGAGGGTTAGAGATAAATTCAGCGCACACATGATCTCGCCTCTGAGGTTACTGGGCTCTATGTGACCACAGGGTCCTCTAATCTCGCAATAAGCTCCATGGATCGACCTGGTTTGAGTCCTAACCTTAGAGGACTCTCTGGCCAGCCGTTTCATATTATTTATTCACTGTCAAGACACTGACAGGTCCGGGTCGAAGTCAAGACCTGCTCCCTGCAGAAACAAATTCTCCAGGTTTGCACAAACCACGGGACACTTTTCAAGAAAAAAAGGAGCCTTGCTTTTTTGCTTTGGTCTCTGCAGTGTGAACAGATGCGTTGGCCAAACAGGCTGACATCCCTGCACTCTGGCCGACAGTCACGATTGTCTGCCATTGATGTAAAATGTCACCTGAAATTGGTTGTGTTGCCTTGTGGAAAAGCATCTCCATTTCCTTTTCTGCTCCAGTGCTTTTGTTTCCATTTCTGTGCCAACATCTCAGGGTCACCTTTTCAAAATGAATCGATTGAAGGTTCAGGTTATAGAGTTGTTAGCAGAGATCTACATCTTTACAACTGATTCAGTAGTTTTAGATACTAAAGCTACTAGATCAATTTTAAAAACAAATTAGACGTCCTTATTTTAGCTCTGGGTTTTGTTTGACCAGCTTCAAAGGAAAAAAACATTGCTGTTTTTTACAAGCATATATTAATGGTCTTTCAGACAGGACTATTGCAAGACATCACTATTGTGGCCATATTGGATTAACTGCTGAATATTTCTGTTTGTCAATGTAGGTGTGCAGGTCTTACAGACTAAGAATAAAAACAATACCAACATTGAGCAGCTGGAGGCCTGTAAATCATTTTGCTTATTACCTTAAAAAATTAGCGAGATTGCACAAATTAATGCTTCTCGCCTTCATATAGGGGAAACTATGCTGGTTGCAGAAAACATGAAAGCTACAATCTTGCCCATTCTGGGCTACTGTAAAACATGGTGGTTCAACATGGTTTCCTCCATAGAAGAAGACCTGCTCCCTCTGTAGATAAAAATGGCTAAATCTAAGGTAACAAAAACAGAACAATTCTTATTTTCAGGTGATTATACACTAATAAACATACCTATTATATAAAAAAAAAAACTGTAAGTTCTTTTTTTGCCTTTTCATGCCTTTATTGGATAGAGACAGCTGAAGATCGTCCGGAAAGGGGGGTAGAAAGAGAGAGGGGATGACACGCAGCAAAGGGCTGCAGGTCGGATTCGAACCTGCAACAACTCCATATATGGGTCACCAGCTCCACCGACTGAGCTAACCAGGCGCCCTTATATTATATTTTTGCCTATAGATCCATCTAAATGTTACACACCACAGCTTTAAACAATTTATTAATTATCAAAGTAGCCAATGCCAATTAATCTTCCGTGGAACTACTAATCGATTCAACTCTAAATGACATATTTTACATTAAAGGCATTAAGTAAACCATACAGTTGTGTTCCAGACAGCCATTCATTTTCATTCATTTCTGTATCATGTAAGAATTGATTAGCAGATACTACAGCTGTATGAGATACAACTTCTCATACAGCTCCTCACTGCTTTAGCCGTCTGCCATCCATTCACCGTCTCCTTAAACATCCACCAGAGGAAGCAGTTCTTTTACTAATTCACTCCTTAAGCTACAGCTAGGGTTGGTAGAATCACCCCTGCTGTGAAATGCCCTCAACACCTAACACGTAGCACTTAAACGCCAACCAACTAATACAGTGCCGTTTTTCAGAGGCTAATATGTATTGGGCAGCTCCCCAGTGTGTATGAATGTGAAGCAGAACCGAGCTGAAAAAGGGCATGTGTGCATAGCAAGTGTTCCCTTGATAAACGTTGAATATAAAATGAAAATGTCAGTGTTTTAGGTTGTCTGTGGGAGTTAATCACAGGTAAGTTGAACTGCAACCTACCCTCGAGTTCCCCATCTGCTTAATGGCTCCCTAACTCTACTGATAGTTGGTGCTCAGACATCTTGAAAAAAACATATTAAGCTCTACATCCATGGCCTCTGAAGTCTTAAAAGCACAACACTCAGCACCATTTAATAAAACACACCATCAGAAAGAATGAGAGCCCTTGGATGTCAGAGATATTTTAAGGTATATTCTAACATAGTGAGACAGTCAGTAAGTAAATCTGTGGGAATGACTGCAACTGTCTGAAGAGTGAACAAGCCTCAGCTTGAAATCATGCTTCTGCCTTTTTGTTTGGTTTTCCGTCATTTTTGGACAACATGGCTGCTTTTTCTAGCTACACCTTTATTTTGCAGCTTCAACTCTTAACTGGCAAAACATTAACCTCTACCTGGTGCTGCTTCTTTGGCAGATGTATGTAACCAAGACTTCTGTACCGTGTCAATACCAAATTCGACCATATTTCACTGCTAGTCGGTCACTGAATTGGTGACACTTGTAACTCAAAGGTCAAAGGTCATTGTGACCCCCAAATAGGATTTTAGCAATAATCTCATTTAGTATTTAATGTGCTTGTTGATCAGCTCTGGGCATGTTATGCACAAATACGGCCAAAGACTCTCCACAGTCACAGCCTGGGTAGAGACAAAGGAGCACCGCTCTAAAGGAAAGTGGTGTGAGGCACAATAAAATTTATCTTGATTATCTTGTGTTTATAATTGTTGGAAGCCAAAAATCCTACATGAAAATAAAATTTGATTAATTGCCCTAGCTTTAAGTCAAATTATCTGTAAAATCTGGACACTACTACTGTCTTCTGACCATTCCACTTGCAGGTCACGTGATCTCTCTTTCGAAAGACGTTTTGTTATATAGTTGTAGTTTAGTTTTACAAATAAAGGATGTGTTGTGTATCCCCGTGTGTCATTTAGCGTGGGGATTTTGTGAGTCTGCGTCTTGTCTATGTTTGTGTTTGGATTTGAGTTGCACTACTAGCACTCCCTTTGGGACGGTGGATCAGGCAATTTCCTGTTGAAAAAAAAATCCTACCTGATGTGGAGAGAGTGAGAGAGAGTGCTGTGTAATCTTTAAAAGCCAACCCTTGGGTTCAGTAAAAACATCTGCTGAATACAGAGAGGGCTGTGCAGGTGTGTGTCTATGTGCACATGGTTGTGTTTATGTGTACCATCCTGCCGCAGTGTTGCTTGTGCTTCTTTTCTCTCATGGCCTCTGGGGGCTTCTGTTACCACTGATACCAGAGCAAAGTTCACCTCTATCAAGGTTACATACAAACAAACAAACCCTTGACAAGGTTGTAGCTTCTTCTGCATTTATGTTGGACTTGGAATTTTCTCTATGCATGATGCCTTTTTTCAGTTGTGGGGTCTTAACTTAGCAGATTAAGTCGACAAAAATCTCACATCTCTTATGTTTTCCTTCAGCTGTCTGCTCAAGTGGACTCTCTCCACGCTCCTTCACATTCTCAAGAGGGCCAAATCAGGGGTTTATATTTACAAATCATCCATTAGGCTGATGTTGATTGATGTTCAGAGAGTGCAGCAATAGAATAACCTTCCAGAGATGCTGAAGGATAAGTGGTATATCCCAGATGATGCTGGATTTTTGAGGCTCATAGTGATATTGATATTTGTGAGTTTAAAATAAGCCATTTTTTAAAAACATAAACAAAGATTGATAGTGTGTTATTTTTAAAGAATTATGACCAAAATGCATACTGAGTGGGATATTTTATAGTTAAAATATACTTTGTTTGGCATTTCTGTATTGTAATTTCTTGTTCTTGTGACTGATGTAGGTGCAATAAGTTGATATTGACCATGAAGATTTACCTGGTGTAGGTGTAGGTGTAGCTCTAATAATTGGCCTAGTCACTGGAAGTGGGAAGTGTAACTGTCAAAATGTCTCAAATAATTTTATGAAGTCGCAGATCTTACCATTACAATGGTTCTTACTCCACTTACTAAATATTAAGACGAACATTTTATTTAAATTTGCTAAGTGAGTGCTGTGGGTGTGGCAGGGATGAAGATAACAAGTTTGGAGTGATCTTACCTCTGTAGGCCGATCCTCATCACGACTTCATTAGCCGCTACTAGCCTAACACACCTGAATCTCCCACCAAACTGTCGCCTTTCAGGTTGCATTATGGGTAAAGTAGATGGCAGGTTTTGACAGGGAAGAAGAAAATGTGGAATAAAAAACACAATTTCTCTCGACGCTCTCTGTGCTGAAAATCGCCCCATTGTTCTCTGTTTCTGGCTTTTTCTGGACAGACTGACAGTTATTTTTATTCCATTATTCTCTCATGAATGGTTTAGACAGCAGGGAGCACAGTAAGTCTATGGCTTCTTGGCAGAAATTACACTGAAGAAAACATGACATTTATTGCATACAGCAGTGTTTATTTAGTAAATTAACAAAATGAAATTTGCTTGTATTAAATGGGACAGTTTTTTAAACAGCTAATTATGTGATGAAGCATGTGTTTGATGTAAGTAAAATAAGATGGTCAAGGTTGTTAAAAGTCTCTTTTATAAAGTTGGAGTTGATTGATTTCACTCGATGTGTGCATATACATTGATCAATAGAAAAGATGCAATGCTCTAAATCAAGAATGATGAAGATGGTGTGTGTTTTGAATACATTAATGTGTAGATTTGTATTATTGTCAATGTAAATGTTTGTGTAAAGAAGTGTGTGTCTGTGACTGAATACGTTTTCAGAGAGCAGTCTCTGTCAGGTTTGTTTTGGTGACAGTGATGTTAAGCGCTCATTCCGGTGCTACCTGTGCATTACAGAGATCATTTTTAAATGTGTGGGTGGCACTTTACTCTTTTTTCTTGCATTTGTCTGCAGATGAAGTTTGAGTTTTTTCACGTTAAGTTCCTTAACTTAAAGGGGCCCTGTGGAGTTTTCTTGTAAACAAGTTATGTTTACATTCAGTATTACTCACCGAAACGTATTGTATGTATCCTTGAGGTCCAACAACCTTTTGAGGGCCTCATAAAACATTTGCAAAGCCGAATGTTAAAGCATTGTTTACATCCATGTTTACTAGCCTGCTGTCTTCTTCCTCCCTGGCTTCGCTGGTGCATTGCTGCATGTCTTGTTCTGTTACGGCCGCCTGTTGATTAGAATAGTCTTGAAAGGACAGTGTATCGCGTCACCGGCGTGATTGTGCCTGCATGTGCATTATTGTGTCTGTACATAGGATAAAAGGGGGGACTCACACGTAGAAAAACAGCTCTATAGCACTGCTGGAGGTCTCCAAAGGAAACTTTTTATGCTATATGTAAAAATGCCTGACATGAAAAACCCACCAGACGTGCGAGTACACAGCATTTTTATCCCTTGTCCCACGTTCCACATATTGAGACAATGTCCCACATTTTGATTGGCTCTAGTTTTTAAACGTCAAACCACTGCAGGGCAGGGTCTTTTTTAAAATCATGTTTTTATCCAATGCCTGTGAAGACAGCACAGGGCTTTATTTCAATCAAACCACACACGTGGGTCCAATGCAGGTTAACCTGTCACCATCTTTGCCACGCTACGCTCAACAGGGGAAATTATGAGTCATCACAAAGTCACAGGCTTTGCAGATTTAGGCAGAATATGATGGAAGGTACCACAACGAAAAGCAGAATGCAGCTACAACATTAAACAAGACATTAAAAATAAAGATAAAGATATAAAGTTTTTAAACTCACAGCACTGGTAACATGTCCCACATTGTCCCACTCAAACATACTGGTTTGTTAGGATCAGGTCATAATATTTCTAGTAAAAAAATGTGAAAGTTTCTAACAACTGAGTGTGCATTTAATTCATGTTGTTTAATCTGAACTGGCCCTTGTGTGGCAGTAATGTAGGTTATTACTTGAATTTAACATACATTAAAACTGACTTGATGTGAGCATTTGTAGGTTGTGTGAAGAAGACGACACCTTCTCGTCCAGTGGTGAATCTGAAGATGATTGTGTTTCCTGCGCCTACCTCTCTGTCTTGCAGGCGGAGATTGTCAAACGGCTGAACGCAATCTGCGCCCAAGTCATCCCCTTCCTCTCTCAAGAGGTAAGACTCAAAAATGCCTGTCAGTGTGAGTTAAGACGGAGGTGGGTGAGAGAGAGAGAGACAGAAAGAGAGAGGGAGGAA